GCGTAACCAACTCGGGGCCCTAGGATTTCTGCATTTGCAAAGCTCCGATACTCGGTGCACACGAACCAACTGGCGTGCTGCCACTGTATGGACCCCACTTCCTGAAATATTTGCATAGAGGGCTCTTGTTGATTTGCTGGCCCGCCTTCACTTAGGACGGGCACGAGGCTTGCTGGGGCCTTAGCCCAGAACATGTACATCATGGCAAGGTCCCTTCTTGAGGGCTCAATCCTCACATTCCATCCCCCTTAGCTTCAAAAGTCCGCTGAGATGCTTACTTCGCAGGTGCCTTCCCTTTCAGCATTCTTTCATATTCTGCCACCACTTGAGGAGCTGTCTCAATCAGTTCCTCTCTGGTAAACCATCAATCTTCCTTTGGATCTGTATGATGCCTGAATCTGACACGATACTCCCGCTTGGGTTTTGGAGGTCTTCTTCTACCCAATGGCTTCTGAACAGGCAAATCTCTGTAATGCACAGTGTCGTCGATGTCCACTTGACCATCCATGGTTGGGGGCAGCATCAATCTCCTTGAAGGGAATTGATCAGTCTCAGAGAAAGGTGCAAGCTTTGAGGCATGAAAGACAGGGTGAGTGCGTAGGTGTCCAGGGATACGGATAACATAGATAGGGCCATCCATCTCATCCCCCACTACATCCAGGACTTCCCAGGGACCCAAATACTGAGGCATTAGTTTTCTAGAGATACCGAATTCCTGTCCTAGCTTACTAGCCTTAACCCATACACGTTCCCCTACCTGAAATGAGGACCGTCGTCGATGCTTGTTCTCAGAAACAATCATTGCTTGCTGAGCTTTCTTGATGTGCTCGACAGCTTACTGCAGCAACTTCTCATACTGCACACCATACTCAAGTGTGCCTGGAGTTGCAGAAGATCGGTTTTTAGGTAGGAGGAAGTCTAGAGCTGATCTAGGCTTCCATCCTAAGTGCAACTAGTTAGGACTGACGTCGGTACTACTGTGTACAACATTGTTGTACAGGCTGGCGATGAGAGGCAACTTCTCATCCCAATCATCCTGGTTGGGCTTGATGTAATGCCTCAGCAAGTGTTGTACAACTCTGTTCATTTGCTCGGTCTGCCCGTTGGCTTCGGGATGATTCCATGAAGTCATCTGAAGTTTAATGCCCATCTGCTCAGCAGTCTTCTTCCACAACTCACTTGTGAATCGGACATCTCTATCACTAACGATTGACTTTTGAAGTCCAAAATCACGCACCCATATGTCCATAAACAACTTGATGACGAGGTCAGTCCTTGCCTTCTCTGGCATGGCTACTAGTCTAGCGTACTTGGTGAATCGATGGATGATGATGAAGATGTGCCTCTTGCCACTCTTACTGGTCACCAGGGTGTCCATGAAATCCATGGAAACACTTTGCCCTGGACCAGCGGGGATAGGTAAGGGCTTCAACAACCCAAGCGGTGCTTGAGTTCGCGGCTTGTCTCGTTGACAGACGTGACAGGTCTCTACATACTTCTTTGCGTCATCTAGCATTCCAGACCACCAAAATCGTTGTACTAGATTGACACTCGTCCTTTTGTAGCCAAAGTGTCTGGTTGCGTCGTGACATTCTCTTAGAAATAAACTACGCAAACTCTCACTCGATGGAACTACTAACCTTTTACACCCGACCCTATCAAGAAAGAGTAACCCATCCACCATCACAAACTCATTCTCTGTGGCCTTGTCTTTTGCCTGAAGTTTGCGGATGATGTCCATCGTGACAGGGTCTTCCTGATAGGCTCCCACCTACGATTGAGTCACTTCCTGAGATACACCAAAATTGGAAACTAGCGTCCCTAGGTGGTCTGCTCTACGGGACAGTGCATCTGCAACCTTGTTGTACTCTCCCTTCAGATACTCAAGCTTGAAGTCATACTGATCTATGACCTCAATCCATCACTTGAGTGCATCAGAAAGAGACGTTTGAGTCTTGATCCATTTGAGCGTCTGATGGTCTGTTCTCAAATAGAATAACCGTCCTAACAGAAAATGTCTCCAATGGACAAGTGTCTTGTAGAGATCATAGAGTTCCCTTTCATAGGTTGACTTTGCTAATTTCTTCGATGGCATCTTCTCGCTCATGTACTCAATCGGTCTCAACTTTTTCTCATCCTGCTAAGCCAGCACTGTGCCAATGCCGTATTGGCTTGCGTCAGTGGTCACTATAAATGGCCTTTGAGGATCGGGCACCATGAGAACCTCATGATTCATGAGTGCATGCTTCAATCGTTTGAAAGCAGCCTCGCACTCGTCACTCCAGTCCCACGGCGTGTCAAGTCGAGTTAGATCTGTCAAAGGAGAGGCGACTGTAGAATAGTTCTTTACGAAGTTCCTATAGTAGCCGCACATTCCTAAGAAAGATCTGACCTCAGTAACAGTCTGAGGTCGTGCCCAATCCCTTATACTAGCCACATTCGCATCTTCCGGCCTATCCCTTCCGCGGATACTTCATGACCCAAGTATAGGATCTTAGTACGTCCGAACTCACACTTCTCTAGGTTGACCTTATACTTGTGTTGTCGCAAGAGTGAGAGTACAATCTCAACGTGCTGTGCATGCTCTTCGACAAACTTACTGAAGATAAGGATATCGTCTAAGTAGACAACGACAAACTTATCTAAGTGGTCATGAAAGATCCTATTCCTAGCGTGCTGGAATGTACCCGGCGCGTTACAAAGGCCAAAGGGCATCACAACAAACTCATAAAGACCATATCTGGTCTGAAATGCATTCTTGTGTTGATCCGTCTTATTGCGATCTGATGGTAGCCGAATTTTAAATCTATCTTGCTATAGTACTTGCATCCCTGCACCCTATCCAATAGGTCGTCTATGTGAGGTAGAGGCTCTGCGTTCTTCACTGTGATGGCATTGAGGCCTCTATAGTCAATGCACATCCTCAATGTACCCCCCTTCTTTGGTACAAATAGTACTTGCGATCCGTAGGGAGAAGTACTCGGCCGGATCCATCCCTTCTCTGTCAGCTCTTTCAGTTGTCGCCGAAGTTCATCCAACTCGGTCGGAGCCATCGTATAGATTCTTCCCTTTGGGGTTTTACTCCCTGGAATGATTTCTATGGCGTGGACAACCTCCCTTTCTATGACTCCTGTAGGCTCCTCGAACAGATCAGGGAACTTAGCAACGATGAGTTCTATCTCTGGGGGAGTTTTAACGGCCGCCCCTTTCTCAGAGACATACACTAGGTACATACCCTCCTCTTGGCTCTGTTTGTAATAGTTATAGAACGTTGTTGCACACAAGCAGCCATAGGTATTTATTATGCTACTGGCTTTGAACTTAGTCAATCTAACTGTTCTGCCATCAGGCAACTTATGTTTTAGCACCTTCTTGTCCCAGTTAAACTGGGCTTGGCAACCTCAAGGTAGTACATGCCTAACAACATGTCGAATGGTAAGTCGTCGCTAACAAGAAACGAAATCTTATGATTAAGTTCCCCTCCTCAATAGGAGAAGGTACAAACTACGTCCTTGATATAGTCTGTGACAATCATGCGCTCCTTATTGGCCAAAGTCGATGCTACGGGTCTACTAAGGTGTTGTACCCGGTCCTGTAGGTGCAGCCTTTCCAAACAGTCGCGACTTATGTAATTCCGCGTGAAGCCAATGTCTATGAAGGCACCACATTTGCGGCCTCTTATATCGTTTTCCACCACGAAATGTTCCCCTCGAGGACCTTTCCTTAGTGGCACCAAAGATTCACGAGGGTCCTTGTTTGACCACTCGCTTTCTAGATCTTCTAAGGCTTCAGACACATCCAACGTACAGATCATAGTTTGGTCTAGATGAGTCTGCGGGGTGGCTAAAGAGTCATTAGCTATGACCATCTCATGAAGTGGGGAGGGTATCTGACCCACTTCACCATGAGTAGAAGCAGCTAAAACTTCCACCGGCCTCACGTGTTTCCCGAGCTAGAAGCCTGGGAAGAAGATGCCCCCATCTTAGGAGGTATCTTTTGCGTGACCTTTGCGTTTTGGCACTTGTACTGGGTGTGTTCGTATTTACCACAGTTAATACAAGCACCACGCACTCGGCAGTCCCGCCACACTTCTTGATCAAGACTTGCCTTGACCCAATTAGCAACTTTGGTCTGATTGGAGGCAGCCCTCCCTTGACTCTTTTGATGGCCCGTCACTCGGCCACCTGCCTTAGCCTTAACTACTGCGGCGAAGGTGCTACCCTCAGCGATCTCCTCGCCGTCATACTCTGAAACATCCAACACGTCTGTGAGCTCGTCGATCTCTGTTTGAGTCTCATCGGACTCAACCATTAACAGTTTAGCCCCCTTCTTCTTCTATTCATGTGGACTCTTCTTCTTCCTCAGGTTATTCTGGGTAGGTTGAACATTTACTAGAATGACCTCTAAGCCTAAGGCTTTTCTAGATAATGTCTCAAATGAGTGATACTCGAGGCGAGCCTCGCTGACCCGCAAATTCCTGAGGTTCTCTGGAAGAGATCTCACAAATGTGGTCAACAGGAAGTGGTTATCGTAGTTGATGTCAGGAACGACGATTAGGCTCTCAACGGTAGTCGTAATCTCTCTGACTGACTTGAACTTTCATTGGTCTAGTCTATGCATCGCATCAGTGGCCATTTGCGCCTGCTGTGGATTGTGCCATCGACCTTCTACCATTTCCATGAACTGGTCTAACGTAATTGTCTTAGCCCAGTCCGCCATGCGTCGTCCGTACCCGGCCTTTGCAACTAAACCATCTAGCCATTTGGCTGCCTTACCCTCGAGGTAAGATGCAACAGTAATCATCTCCTCCTCCTGCAAAGTCCTCTTCGCCTTTACCCATACCGGAACCGTTATCAACCAAGTGTTGAGTTCCTCATCCTTCTTCTCGCCTGAGAAGGCAAGAGGCGGTTTCATAGGGGTCTTAGGGTACTATAGACCTTGGGATTGTCCTTGTTGAGGAACAGGTTGTTGTGGTGGTGTAGCAACCACTGCTGGACCAGAAGAAGAAGAAGCAACAGTCTGTGAGACTGCTGCAGACATGCCACTTGGTTGTGTGCCAGCTTGTACGGGAAAGGGGCCTGACATCGCCGTTAATGGCAACGGCGAGCTGGTGACCTAAATCCTGACCTTTGTAAAAGATCCAAGATCGGGTCTAGGGAGTTCCGCATAAAGTCCAATCGGCTGTCCACTTGTGCATGCAGCGACAGCATATTGTTCTTCAATATTTTCATTGAGTCAGGCAGTCCTGACTCATCCAAACCCTCTAACTCAGCTTTGTCTGCCTTTAACGTATGAAGCCTGACTGTTCTATTTTTGATTTCTCTTCCTCCATCGGTTACTTGCTTCAGTTCCCTCTCTAATTGTTCACGGATCCTTTCGACCTGTTGGAGCTCTCTAAGCTCCCTCTCGTGTGGGGTCAACGGGCTGAACTGCAAACCCGCCATTTGACTTGTAAACTGTCGAGAACCTACTGAGCTGGAAGTACCCTGTGGGCATTCCCAACTGGGTCCCATTGGTCCCAAACGAGGACGCAACAGAGGACGCTGCTGCGGAAGCCATGACTGCTGCTGCAGCCTGTTCCCTAGCTGCGGCGTTCGTTGTTTCCCTAGTTGCTGCTAGTGCACGGGCTCTGCATTCGGCACAAAGCCGTCCTTCGTCTCCTGGTTGTAGGGCCTGAAACACGTGCGGGATCCTACGTGATCTCGAACGTGTCAGTCTTGCATCGTCAACTGTTCCCTCATCGATGTCTGACCCGTTCATCAATTAGGCAAACATTATCTGCACTAGAACCCCCTAGTGGAGTCCTACCACAGCGTGTGTCTGACCGACACCTAATTTTCTAAAAATAGTTGTGTCGGGTAGGTCCCCAACTTTACCGATCAAGTGGTAGCCTACAACATTCACAACACACTGTCAACATAGTCTAGATGTATCTTGATTGGTTCACTTACATCAGCATTAGATAGAACTGCCTATGGTAGTATACAACAGTCCTACTCTAATCTGTCTGTGAGGTGTTAGCAGTCTGTCCACCAACTAATCAAGAATAAAAGAAGACCATGTTTCAGATGTATTCATAGTGGGTATGGTTGTGTTTGCAGTTCAGCATCAATTAGAACCTACCCTCCCCTCAATCCAACATACCGAATAGCATCAATGCGCAGCGGTGTCTTCGTGTGTGTTTTCGGCCCACCCCTGTGCCCAAGTCATTCCCGAGCAAGCCAGCCCATCCACTCTTATTTACCCTCGTACAGAACGAGCCTGACTGCCCAGTGTGATCTGGTTGATCAGGAGGATTTTAAGGAGAGCCCCCATCTCCGCAGGAATTATTTAACGTCGAAGACAGGATGACGATCACAACCAGAATCACCACTGAGTCCCCAACCAGAAATGTTTATAGACGGTTTGGTAAGCGTCTCATATGGGCTGGCACACCCAGCAGGACTTCTATCAACGCAGCAAAGTGCCAAAATGGACAGCAGCCATCGCATGCGTGAGCTACTCCCATTGGGTTGGCATGGTGACCGTGACCCAGTGCTTCGACCAGGGCCCTTTAGAGGCACCGCCCTTTCTCCTTCCAGATGCTTCCGGGAAGATTGTCGTCTCTCAAGGTAGCGCGCTCATGACACCTCACCAAAAGAGAGGACTCTCAAGTTGGACTCACTTCCTCGCGGTAAGAAGAGATTGAGAGAGTAGATAAGGTAAGGGAACAACGTACCTGGAGATAGCTGCCCCCAACCACARATTTCTCACCAGTTGAGCTGAGTGTGCATTTGATGACCGGTCTTGGCCTCGGTATCACCCACAACGCAATGCAGTGCCACCTCAGCCGAATGCCACATCAGCATGCTCTCATCACCAATCATACATTCCGCCTGTCACCACGGCAATCAATGTCGTCTTAGCCTTCCGACGCACACCTCTCTACCCAGGCTCTGCGCCTAATATGGCCTGACGTCACAAGAACCAACTGCGAAGAAGCATCGTCAACGCACCAAGTTTGTATAACGCCAGCGCACCAAGGTAAGTGG